GTCCCTAAGAAATTATTAAATCATGAGGGTTGAGTGCTCATGGATGAGATTTTAGCCCTTTTAAAAGGGCTTGAGTTTGAGGGGGGTCATCTTGCACTCCTGCCCTTCTGCTTTCTGCCATGTGATGTTGCAGCAAGGTAGCCCTCGTTAGATGCTGGCCTTCAGAACTGCAAGAAACCAAATCTCTGTTCTTGATAAATTCTCCAGTGTCACATATTTTATTATAATTGCACAGACTAAGAAGTTTTTTCTTTTTTTCACATTAAAAGAGACACCCAGTGATTCGTTTGGACTTTGCTGTGCCTACATGTGACAAATAAGTATAGAAACTATTTTGAGGTCATGAGGTAAAAATAAAGCCAATATACTGAAGATGTTAGAGCATAAAGATGTAGAAGGAACCAGAATTTTGATGGGCATGGTTAACTGCTGAGTTGGAACTGTCCCACTTGAGACTTTTAGTTATATGAGATAATAAATACTCCCTTATGGTAGTGAAAGACCACTACAACAAAAGCTACAGCACTCTGAAAAACAAAATTGAAGAGGACATCAGAAAATGGAAAGATATCCCCTATTCTTGAACAGGCAGAACCAACATAGTCAAAATGGCCATACTTCTAAAATTGATACACAGATTTAATGCAATTCCAATCAAAATCCAACAGTATTCTTCACAGAACTGGAGAAAACAACCCAAGAATTCATATGGAACCAGAAGAGACCTAGATAGCAAAAGCACTCCTGGGTAAAAAGAGCAAAGTGGGAGGCATGATAATTCTGGACTTGAAGTTATATTACAAGTTATAATAAAAACAGCATGGTACTGGGACAAAACCAGACAGGATCAATGGAACAACATAAGGGATGCAGAAACAATCCCCAAAATATTAAACTATTTGATCTTTGACAAAGGAGCCAAAAACATACACTGGAGGAAAGATAGCCTCTTTAATAAATGGTGTTGGGAAAACTGGCTACCCACATGGAGAAGATTGAATCTAGACCTCTATCTCTCACCATGTACTAAACTAAAATCCAAACTCATCAGAGAACTAAATGTTAGAACAGAAACACTTGTTGGCAGACGAAATAGGTAAAACTCTTGAAGGCATAGGCATAGGCAACAATATTCTGAAAAAAATCCCAGTTGCATAGGAAGTACAGTAGTACCAAGAATCAACAAATAGGATCATATTAAAGATAGATAAGAAGTACAGAGATAGATCTTTCTCAAAGGGGAAGGGGATCAAGAGATGAAGGGAAAGGAAAGGGAGAGGAGGGAATGGGGATGAAAAATTAAGATGTGTTATGTACATGTACTACACACAAGAAATGTAAACATTATGTACTGCAAACATATAAAAAGGAAGTGATCATGAGATGGATGAAGAGGAGTGGGAGGAAGGAAAGGAGGATGACAAAAGGAATTAAGGTGCATTATGTACATGCAGAAAATAAAAGGAATTAAGATGTATTATGTACATGTACCATTTTATATATATATATATATGTATTATGTACATTCCTCCATAAGGAATATAAACATGTACAACAAACATGTACTAATAAAGAAAATGATTTGAAGGAGAAAAAAAGTATTCCCTTATGATTTAAGCCAAGTGAGGTTCCTGTTATTTGCAACCCAAAATAATTTAAGAGATACGGAACTACCCCTAAAAGAGAAACTGCTAGCCAGGTCTGTAATCATCCAGAAATAAGACCTTTCTTATTAAGAGGGGCTGGATCCTCTGTGGTCCAACCAATGGCCTAGAGCATTTCACAATGAGAAGGCAAACTGCCTGAAAGATGAACACCTGGAAAATGGTCTCCACTAATATATGTATTCCTTTAAAGTGGTTATTTAATCTTATCACTATTAAGACACAGAATTTTAATTTTCACTTCCTGTATTATACTTAAGAGTTACTGTGTGCCTGCTCTTGCTCAAGACAACTGGCAGATTCAGAAATAGAACACGTGCCTAGGTCATGATGGAAGTTTACAACTTTGACAAAGCCTTTTGACAGAGTACAGGAAATAAAAGTCAGCCAAACAGGAAGTAGGCAGAGTAGAACAGAGCAGCCGGAAATATTTGGGCCTAGTGCAAGATTGTGTATCTACAGAAACACACACATACACACACACACACACGCATGCACACACACACACACAATTCAGAACTGAAATCTTTTAACTCCCCCATAGGAGAGGGAGAAAACAAGGAAGTAAAGAGGAGAGAAAAATGTGTCCAACCAGAGTAAATATTGTGTTGACCAAAAAATATTGTCTGTATAGGTAGTGGCAGTTTTAAAACATTTCTGCAAATTCCTCCACCATCCTCCTATGAAAACATGAGTTATGTAGCCCCTCCCTTTGCACCTGGGCCAAACCATGGTGACTGGTTGACCCAAAGATTATGGCAGAATTTACTATGTGGCTTTCCAGGCTAGGTCATAAAAGGTGGTACAGATTCTTCCTAGTTGTCTGGATCCTGCATTAGAACCTTGATCCATTACATAAGAAGCTTTACTACCCCAAGGCCACCATGCTGCAAGGAAGCACAACTAACTTATATAGACAGACCACATGCAGAAAAGGTGTCACATGGAGAAAAGATGCCCAGCCATTCCAAGCTTTCCCATTGCTTGTTCTCCCATCTCCTGCCTCTGTGTGACTGCAACTACATGAATGATCCTAACCCAGAACCATCCACTGGAACTCTTCCTGAATTCCTACTCACAGAAACCATAAGAGATCATAAAAGGATTATTGTTTTAAGCCAATAAGTTTTGGGGTGGTTTAGTAGGTCACAATAGAAACTAGAACATTAGACGAGGTGATTTAAATGCTATGGTTTTTTAATAAGTAGGGAAAGAACCCAAGGGCCCATTAGAAGTCATTACTGTATAATTAATTACTGTGACAAACAAGGTGAAGTGATTTCCAGTCAGAGGACCTGTTATAATAAAAACAAATAATTGGTGAGACCAAGTAAATTTTTAAAAAAATCTTGATTATGAAAATATGTTAAGGTGAAAATACTATGAAAAGTTTAGATATCTTCTAAGGGCAATTTGTATAAGTTTCTTTTTACTACTTTTTCTTCCTATTCCATATTACCAACAAACTATGACAGATATTTGGACTGATTCCTGACATGTTAAAACTCACCAACTGAGAAGTTTAGTATCGTTGTGAACTGGGTACATAGAATTTTCAATCATTTAATATTTTTCTGAAAGGGAAATATTGCTAGTGGAGCCATATCTGTGAGATAAATTTATTATGAGAAAGATGGATATCAGGGGAGTCAAAGCCTCTTCACACTGTAGTATTAATTCTTGTTTTAAAGTATTGAAAGGTTGGGTGTGGTGATGCATACCTGTAACCCCAGCACTTGGGAGCCTGAGGCAGGAGAATCACTTTGAGGCCAAGGCTAGCCTGGGCTACGTGGTGAGTTCAAGGCCAGCCTGAACTAAATAGTGAGAACCTGTCTCAAAAAAACCTCCAAAAGTAAATAAAGTATTGAAAGAACATTTAAAAAAATTATCATCCACCAAATCAGATGCAGAAGAGTAACATAGAAAATACACATAAAATGTTCAGAAAAGGCAAATCCATGAAGACAGGAAGTAGATTAGTGGTTGCCTTGGGCTGGAGGGACATAAAGACCGACAATTGATGAGTAAAATGAGTATGGGATATCTTTATGGAGTTCTTGAAAATATTATAAAATTCATTGTGATGATAGTTTCAAAACTGAGTAAACAGGTTGAACATCCTTAGTCCAAATATTTGAAAGCCAAAATGGTCCTAAATTTGAAGCTGTATGAATACCAACATGTTACAAGTGAAAATTCCATACCTGATCTCATGTGATAGGGCACAGTCAAGACATAGGCAAAGTAAAAATATTGTACAAAATTGTGCAAGGTCCTGAGTTCGATCCCTAGTACCACCCCCCCCCAAATATATATATAGTACAAAATTACCTGCAGGCTATATTTATAATGTATATGTGAAACATAAATGAATTCCATGTTGAGACCTGGGTTCCATCCCCAAAATCACTCATTACATATATACAAATATTCTTAAAAATACAAAAACCAAACACTTGATCGCAAGCATTTCAGATAAGAAATACACAACCTGCATTAAAAACCACCGAGTAGCCTGTAATCCCAACACTTGGGAGGCTGAGGCAGGAGGATCACAGCGAGTTCGAGGCCAGCCTGAGAAATAAAAATAAAAACTAATGGGGGCCAGGGATTTAGCTCAGTGGCGCTGCCACCTGCTCACAAGCACAAGGTCCCAAGTTCAATCCCCAGTACCAACCCCCCCCCCCCGCAAAAGACGAAAACCAAACCAAACCAAAACAAAACCCAATGAGTAGTACACTTTAAAGCGGTAAATTGTAAGGCATATGAATACTATATTATACAGTTCACTTATTAAAGCTCTCATAAACCAGGTGTGGTAGCACACACCTGTGATCCCAGCATTCAGGAGATTGAGGCAGGAGGATCACTGCACATTCGAGGCCAACCTGGGCTATATAGTGAGTTCAAGGCCAGCCTGAACTGCATAGTGAGACCCTGTCTCAAAAAAATAAAATAAAATAAAGTTCTCATAAAGAAGTAACATGAGAAAAAAAGTTTATGTAAAATGAAAACATAAAAATCAAAGCTCTTGAGGGCCAGGGATTTAGCTGAGTGGCACTGTGCCTGCCTCACAAGTGCAAATTCCTGAGTTCGATCCTTGGTACCAAAAAACCAAAATCTTGATCATAATTAAAATGTGTTCACTAATAACTTAGAAATGGCTGACTAAAGGAGAAGGTAGTACTGATATCCTTCCAAAGCAGAGTTCAGCAAACTTTTCTTGTAGTAGGACAGATACAAAGTATTCATGGCTTTGTAGGCCAAGATGTAGAATTGTAGACATTATAAACATAGTCATATGAAATGAAAGAACACATTTTTGCAATTTAGTTGGTGGAATTAAAAATATAATAATTGAATATAGTTTATTATAGTACAGGTCTTCTAATAAGAAGAGTGGAATTCTTTCAGGGGGGTAACATTTTGCTTAACTGAAGATCAAAGTTAGCATCTCTTGTCATCAAACTGATTGTAAATGTCCTTCTGGGGAAAAAAAATATTTTACCTCATGAGTCAAAAACAAACTGTAGTTGGCCTTTAGGCCATACTTTACTCTAGAGGAATAAATTCCTACAGTTTGATGCATTAATTAACATAGGATTCAATAACAAAATAATTCACATTGAGTTGCTTAAAACAAGATAATCATTTTCTCACAGTTCTAGAGGCCAGAGGTCTGAAATCAAGGTGCTGGCAGGGCTGTGCTTCCTCCAAAGGCTCTGGGGAGTATTCTTCTTTTCCTTACCCAGGTTTTGGTAGCTGCAGGTGTTCCTTGGCTCATGGCAGCACAATTAAGATCTCTGTCTCTGTCTTCATATGGCCATCTTTCTTCTGTATCTATAGGTTATATCTCTTCTTATTAGGATACTAGTCATACCCTAATTCAGGATGATCACATCTTAACTAAGTGTATCTGCAACAAATGTGACCAGTTATTTCCAAATAAGGTCACATTGATAGGTACTAGGAGCTAGGCCTTGAACATATCTTTTGAAGGGATCACAATACCCACAGACTTGGGCAGAGAGCTCTGAAAGATCCTTAGCCCAAAGGTGTCAGTCATCTTATTATACACTTTTATCATCAAAAAAGTATTGCTATTCATGACCACTAAGTTAGCTTAGTTGTTTTGTTTTGTTTTGTTTTGTTTTGTTTTGAGACAGGGTCTTGCTAGGCAGTTCAGGCTGGCCTTGAACTCACTATGTAGCTCAGGTTGGCCTCAAACTCGACACTCTTGCCTCAGCCTCCTGAGCACTGAGATTATAGGCATGTGGCACCACACCTGGCCACTGGCCAGGTTAGTTTAGTTTTTTGTTTTTGGGGGCTTTTTTTGTACCAAGGATTGAACTTGAGACCTTGCGCTTGTGAGGCAGGCAGTGGGTGGTTAGTTTAGTTCTTATCCTAGAGAGTACCTACTACCCTGGAGCAGATAGAGTGCTACCTTTCATGGTGTCCATGGTTCCAAACACTTGGAGACTTATTTTTTGTTGTTTTAAGGCCCCCAGATATTAGGTGCTTTCATTTGAAAATGTGTCACTTACTATGAGGGAAAAAAGGTTTAGAAGTCATTCTGTACTAGAATGAATGTTCCTTAGCCATTTTAGATTTCCTGGAAGCTTCATAATACATCTGAAATTTTAGAAAATGGGCTAATTTTTGTTTAGCTTGATTCTGCTTTAAAATGATGAAATGTGAACAGATTCTAACAACACTCTACCAGCACCACCAAAATCTCACAATTTGAAAACTACCCCTAATTGTGCCTTCAAAGTCTAAGAAACCTCGATAAAGTTTGGGGGTTTAATAAGTTGTCTGATATGCACTAAAAGGGCAGCTAAGCACATAAGGCCAAGCCCGTAGCTTAACTGTTGTGAGAGAAGGGACAAACTCTTGGAAATAGAGATGTTTCTTTGACCTGCCAAGCAGTTGTATATGTTGCATTTCCCTGTGAACTTTGAGCAGTGGGGTCAGCAGAGTTGTCTCAAGAACATCCTCTTTTATCACTTCCTCTTTAACTGAGCGATTTTTTTTTTTATTCAAAGAAGTGCATTGTATTACAGAATCAAAATGTTCACATTGGAAGAAGCCCCATTTCACTTCCTCTTATTTAAGAGATGAAGAGACAGGTTCAAAGTGGTAAAATAACTGAACAAAGATCATTCTTTTATTTATTTGACAGATGTATATTGAACAATCCCACACATGAGGCTGTATGCTGGGCCCTGAAACCTAGAGGTGAACAAGGTAAACACGATTTCTATTCTGATGGGAGCTTCAAGTCTAGTGGAGGAGGCAGAAAATCAGTAAAAGTTTACACAGATGTCTGTGACAAGTGTTTTAAAGGAAAGTACAGGAGTTTTAAGGTGCCAGGGCAAGGAAGGAGAATTGAAAGGCTGGGCTGGGGCTATGGGGGCTGAAGGAGAGTCTGGGCTGATGAATTTGAATGTCCAATGGCCTCAGGTGGGCCAGAACAAAGCATTTTCAAGGAATAGAGAGAAGGTCAGTATGTTTGGAGCACTGTGTGTGAAGATTACTTAGTTCTTGACAAAATAGGAAGGGTAAACAGGCAGATCTTCCAGGGTGTTTTAAACCATGGTGAGTATTTGAACTTTATCCTAAAAACACTGGGGAGCCCTAAAAGCTTCTATGCAGAAGAGTATTATGAGCAAATTTGATTTTAAAATAAGAAAAAAGCTTAGATGTTGAAGAACAAATGGTTTAGAAAGGAGGGCAGAAATGAGATGAGAAATGAGATGAACTCATTTCTGAAAGTTATAATTGTTCAGGCAAGAGCCAATAGCAGCTTGTATAAAGCTGTAGCCATGATGATGGAGAGAAATGAATAGATTAATGATCTGTTCACAGGAAGAATCTACAGTATTTAAAAATTTAGCAGGGCCTGGTGGTGCATGCCTGTAATCCCAGGACTTGGGAGGCTGAAGCAGGAGGATTGCTGCAAGTTCAAGGCCAGCCTGGACTACACAGTCAGTTCAAGGCCAGGCTGAACTTCATAGCAAGACCCCATCTCCACAAAACCAAAAAAATTAAATTATGTGTAGAAAGATGAAGAAGATGGTGTCAAGAATGATTTTCAGGTTTCTGGCATGAGCAACTGGGTAGAGAATAGTACCATGGAATAAAATACAGAACATTGGAAAATTCCCAGGTTTAGGGGAGGAAGATCATAAATTTGGTGTGGGAATGTTCAATCTAAGCAGATTGTGAAATAGTAAGACAGGTATTTCACTGGTGATACAGATTTGACAGTGGTTGTTGGGTTTCAAGGATACCAGTGAATAATACCCCCTACCTTTTGGGTTCAGAGTCAACTGAGAAATAGATATTATCTTGGGGATCAGAATCTCAACTTCTTTATTGGACAAATTGGATTGTAGAATAAAGCTTTGATCTGTAGACAAGCTGGGCTTTTTAAATATCTTCCTCCGTGAAATTCACCTATTAGCCCCCACTTGCAGATCTCCCTCCCTATTGCAGAACCGAGCTTGGCCCAGTAACAGTGCATCATACAGGAGAGAGGACTGGGTGTCTGCTACATGGGCCAGTGGGTCAGAGAGGGAGGGAGAGGCGCTCAAGTTGTCAGTGAGTCAACCTGTGGAAAGGACAAGCTTTCCAGCAGGAAACAGAAGGTGCACTCACAGCTATAATTGAGGAGGGTTTAGCAAAGACATAATTTGCAGAGGTGTGGGCAAGGTTAAGTCTACCAACAAGGGATTCAGATACTTCCAGGAACTAATATTAGTAAGTCCTAGAAGGGACAAGGGAAGGGAGTTGTTACCAGAACTGTGGGGAGGCACTGTCCAACAGGAACAAGGCAGAGGAAAGAAGCTAGTGCCAAAACTGTCATCCTCAGTGGCCAGGGTGGACAGGCTGGGGTTCAGGTAGAAAAATACCTTGCCTTCCTGCTCTTCCCACCTCTGAACCTCCTACCATTGGCCAAACCCTCCAGAAGGCAGAGGATTGTACTGACTAGGGAATGCAGTCAGTAGCAGTCAGACAGCCCAGGCACAGAGCAGAGGAGGGAAGGTAGAGAGTCAGGGCAACAGAAAATAACCAGCATGGGCAGGGGCTGAAGAGACAGCAAGATGTCTTTGCTGTCCCAGAAGCAAATGTCCCTGAGTTGAGGATTGAAACCATGCTGCTGTCCTGCTCCAGCCTTTGTGACACTCCCCTCCCCTGCTTCCCCATACCATCCTCTCTTCCTTTGAGAGCCTCCTCCAAGAAGGCTCTGAAATGGGAGCAAAACAATTATTTTATTAAATTAATAGTGCTTATTGGGCCAGGGATTTGGCTCAGTGGTGCTGCAGCCTGCCTTGAAAGTGCAAGATCCCAAGTTCGATCCCTGGTACCAAAAAAAAAAAGTGCTCATTACACCCTGAGAAAGAAACTCATTACTATTCTATTTCCTAATCTCATATTTCCTCAGCTGTATTATCCAACTGACTCACCAGAAAATATGCAATGGGATCAGAGGATAATGGAAACATATAGCAGTATTATGTCTAACAATGATAGGATGTCAATCAAATAATAATATCCCAAATAACCTTCTTCCATTATAGCATTTCACTGATTCTGAGATGTGGAATTTTTTCCCTCTTCATGTCTTAAGCTTTCTGAAATTGGGATTCGTTCGTATTATAGTCTAATCAACCAGGCTACAGTTAAGAAGGAATTGTCATTGCCTGTGCATGCACATCAAAACTCACACAGTGGGTATCAGTGGCATGGAAGAAAACCCTGTAGACAGACTAGAGCACTCTGTTATAAAATGCTCAATCACTGATGCTCTTGGTAACACAGAGGGTAACATTATTTGAGACACACACAGACCACTCTGAGTTAAAAAGTGATTTGGTCAGAGACAGATTAGTGGTTGTGTGGACTGGGTAAGTAGGAGCAGCAGAGGAGGAGATGGGTGCTCATGGATACAAGGTTATACAAGAAGATAGGGTACCAGAAATTATTCTGTAACAAGTAGTGGTGATGGCTGCACAACTTTGTGAATACACTTTAAAAAACAATGAGTCATTCACTTTAAAAGGGTGAACTTTATGGTATGTAGATTACATTTCAATTTTTAAGAAGTGATTAAGAACATGGAGGGAAGTTGGGACATGGGCCCTTGGGAACTCTGCACTATTTTTTATTTGCATCTAAATTTATTTCAAAATAAAAAGCTTTAAAATGCTTACTGAAATGCCACCAGAAATTGAAGTTTCATGTATGAAAATCCATATTCAGAGTATGTTATAGACTTGTGTGAATTATCTAGGTGGGGGGAGGTGATATTTAATAGCAGCTCTTTTCCAACTTTGAAAACAAAAATGGTTTAGAGGGCCGGGGATTTAGCTCAGTGGTTTTGCCACCTGCTGCGCAAGTGCAAGGACCTGAGTTTGATCCCCCCTCAACAAAAAAAAAGATTTAGAATATTTGGATTTTTGAATAAAGAGCTACTAAGAATATTTTATGTTATTTTGCTTATATTTTTCCTTTTATGTATGCACAAAGGCAATATATTATTAAAAATCTATAGCTGGGCCAGGGATTTAGCTCAGTGGTTACCCCCGCCTGCCTTGCCGCAAGTGCAAGGTCCCGAGTTTGGTACCTGGTACCAAAAAAACCAAACCAAAACAAAATCTATAGCTAAGTAAGTCTAAAAGAATTTTTTAAGTAAGCATAAAATAAACATTTTAAGTGACAAAAAGGCATTTTGTTAATATGTAATTGGTAGTTTTTTCCCCCTTCTTTGTAGTATGTTAGATATTACAAAATATAGTATTTTATTCCCAAGGAGCAATATCTTTCAGACCTAATCTTCTTGCTTTTCTAAGGTAAAGGCCACAGACATTAAGGTCCACAATTATCTCCTGCACAAACTCTCATCCTGTTTAGCCTCAGTTCAGGGGCCTCCCTGGGTTCCTGGGAAGAGCAAGGGTCCTTCAGTGACTATAGCTAAATTCGCTTTTAGAGGCCAAAGAGCTAACAAGACGTAGAAGATAATCCCAGTACCAGCCCCACACCCAACAAATTTTAAAAACATGAGCAAATCTGCAGAAGTTAAACCAGTTATATCAGTCCTGATTTTCAGGCTGTCAGCCACAGGAACTGACACTGCCTGAGTTAAGCAAAGAAGGAATTTATCCAAAGCCCATTGAATAGTTGGGAGCATCACAGGGAAGCCCGGAAAACCTAATTCTGAATGATGTGATCTATGAATTGCTGTTGCTGGTGATCTGTGGACCTTTTATCTGGGAGATTCTCTTTTGGGCCTCATCTGTGCATCACTGACCCCTGACTCAAAGCGTAGGGTGGATGCATTTAACTGGCTGAGCCTTGGTCACATGATTGCAAGGGAATCTTGGAGAGGAGAGTGGCATTTCTGCTTTTATAAAAGGGAACAGACTCAATTTCCTACCAAGACTCTTAAGGAAGGGAAAGAGGTTCTGTTGATTGGTGGCCAAAATTCCTATGAATGTCCACTTCACCAATCAAAGTAAATCCCTTGGACTCCCAGAATATACACACAGTACTGGCACTAGCTAATGACCTAGCAAAGGTCCAGCAGTATCTGAGGAAAGGACAGGAGACAAAGAAACATGAAAGAAAAAGGAAAATCTATTATAGATAGCAGTATTGATTTGCCTATCAGTCCATGACCAGTTTTCCATAGTTCTTGATCTGTTAACTTTACACTCTGTTGGGAGAGATATTCCACTAAGAGGTTAATCATGGAGTACATGTGCCATATCACAGTTGGAAATCGAAAACTCCTTAGGGTTTTGCAAAATTTAAAAATTTTCAATGGTACTCCAGAACTTACTGGTGACTCCTTGCTTTTTATTCTGTATATTTAAAATCCCTTAATTTCCATATTCTTGTGTTTTAGCCTGTTTTCTGTTGCTATAACAGGAAAATTTATACAGAAGAGAAATTTATTTCTTACAGTGTTAATGTCTGGGAAGTCTAAAGTCAAGAGCCTTCTCACCTGTGGGAACTTTTTGCAAAGTTCCAAGGTGGCACAGGGGATCATGTGTCATGACAGAACAAGCTTGCCAGAAAGGGCCCACTTTATAACAAAGCCATTCTTGTGATAACTCATTAATCCAGTTATCTGTAAATTATCAATTACCACCTAAATGTCCCACTTTTCAAATACCATTAATGTATGACTTTGGTGGTTAAATTTCCAGGGCATGAATTTTAGGGGACATATTCAAACCATA